TCTAACTTCCAAGACGCTATCGTGGAATTGCTCGGCGAGCACCACTGCCACACCGTTCTCTCCACCAGAGGAGCCTGTATAAATCAGCTTGTAGCCGTGCCCAATATTTCGGCTCCTGTTGGCCTTCCACCGTGTCTCCTGCAGGAATGCCACTGCCACTTTACGCCTGGCAAGTATGGCCGCAAGTTCTGCGAAGCGTCCCGTAAGCGTGCCAATGTTCCAGTTTGCAAAGCGAATCTTCGTAGTTGGTGCTAACGTCTTTAGCCGGGCTCGCACGGGGCCCGGTAGCCCTAACATACTTGTCGCAGGGTTAAGGCGATCCCCATGCGCGTCGTTATGCGGCGACGCCCTAGTCCTAAACGTATTTATCTTTCTTTTACCGTCCATTTTTGAGTGGCTTAGTGCCAATTACCAGGGCGACTGCCGTCTGACCCCCGAACCCCTAGGACGAATCCCAGAGGAGTGGCATCGCCAGAGCCCTTTCCGTTGTCCAGCAGGTGCGCCACGTGCAGGCGAGGTTGGCTTGGGCTCCAAGATCTTAGCGGAGCCCCTTTCACCCTAATGTACAAGACATTAATAGTGGTGCGCAACAGTATTATCTTTGTTCCAAACACCTCATGTTTAGAACAAAGATAATTAATTTTGTTTCGGACGTTCATTCCCAATTTTTGTGCTTTTTAGCTATAATTTTAGTCTAGGTTAAGTTGGAATCCTGTTAATTAATAAACAATTGATAATTATCTGTTATCGGCGACTTTGGGTGTTAACATATTATGGGTAGAAAAGAACATCGATAAGTATTATAGACAAGAAACTCTACAACCCTATTGAATTTTATTGTTTATCGAAACTCAGTAGTATAAAGCCAAACATGTTGGTAATTACTATATTAGAATTAGTAACAAATTTTTAAGTACCTATAATATCAAATAGTTTTAATCTGTTTAATATTTGCTGTCATTTTCTAGTTTAAAAGTTCAAAATACAGAGATACGATTTAAATAACACAACAGACTTAGGCATATTATGTTAATTTTAATTCCAGGTACGGACAATGAGGGCGCTTCAAATCGGCATAAGCATTTTGTATAGCCAGTCCAGCGTACTTGTATATATAGCGGTCAGTGGATTTTTTAAATTTGAAATCCAACAAAAGACAGATGGGTTCAGCTTATTCTCAGGAACATGTTATATAATATTTTTTTACTTATTTTAGAACTATCATGGTATAAATTCTGATAATTTTGGGGTTATTCAATTTCGTGCAATAAACTATTTTTTTAAATCTTTTTACCGCTTCCTTATTATATTATAACAATCATTTTTCGATAGTCCTTGTAAGTAAAATGTCATCACTAGCTAACGCAAACAATGACAAATCAAAATTAGCCACGCGTTTTCGGGCTGTCAGGTCGTCTATACGCCAGTATATTTCAAGTCTATGTATACGCCCAATAGTCTTTCTCTCCTACCAATAGAGTTCCGTAAATGTGTATTTTGTTTTTTATATCATTTTCAATAATTTTATGAATGTCCTCAAACTGCACTTTTGTCATGGAAAAGTACAAAATAAATCGTTCGTCATCATTTTCCACTTCCTTAACTAATGTATGGTATTCTCCAAACACCTCTCTTGGTTTATTTATTTCATGTAGTCAATATCTTTGCCTCTTAACTTTTCTCTTTTTCCTTATGGCGTGGATATATTCATTTATGAACATCTGATTAAGTAAATAATTTTCAAACTCACTCCCAGTATCAGAAAACATACTAAAAATTTGTACTCGTGCGTCCGCTAAGAAGTGACAAGTGTCTGACGCCAAACGTACGTTGCATACGTATGTCAAGTGTGCATACCAACGTGGGAGCGTTGCATCGCATACGTTGCGTACGTGGGATCAGTCTGTTTCTCCCATAAGAGTTTTGGCGGGAACTTGAACGGTGGATTATTGCTGCTCTTGTATTATTGTTTAAATAATGGTTTAAAGTGGATTTTGATATGAAAAATTTGTGCGATTTTGTGTGTGCATGTGAATTATTAGTGGAAACGGTGAAACAAGTGCACTGATGGTGATGTGATTCTTAAGATAAGGTGTCTGTCTGCGTAGGCGCCTTGAGATACCATCGCCAACTGTCAACTGTATGCTGGCTCAAATTGTGGTGACGCATGACATATTGTGAAGCAGTGTACTGTGAAGGATAATTTTACATTGTAACTTCAGGCTCAGAAGGGTTAGAACCCAGAGACGTAAAGCCACTTATAAAAAAAAACATGCCGGCAAGCTGTCATTTGTCAAATTTGACATAAGTATGGCTTCCTTTGTTTTGCATCAAATAAAAAACCAGTAAACAAATTAGATATTATACAAAATACGAATTTAAGACTTATTAGCGGCTCTATGAGAACATCTCCTATTGTTTCTTTACAGGCTGAATGTCTTACTCCTCCTATCTTATTTAGGTTTAAATATCTGAAATTTAGGTTTTTATTAAATGTTAATACTTTGTCTCATCATCCTCTTTTTCAAAAAGTATTATTTTACTATAATAGTATGTCTACTATATCTAACTCAGCCCCATATATACTCCATGACTTTCATGAAGTGATACGGTATGATGAACAATATAATATTCACAAAAGCACACATACTTGGCCTTGTTATAAGGGGAATTATGAAAGTAAATTCAGTGATATACACATAAATATTGATGAAAAATTGAAAAGAAAAGAAGAGGTTTATGAACTTATATCTACATATGATGAATATCGACAAATTTACACAGATGGTTCAAAAGTTGAAAATAAAGTAGCCTGTGCATTTTACATACCTCATCTGAAAACTGGACGTGGCCTTTCCATTCCTGCTTCAGCAAGCATATACACTGCACAATGTTATGGTGACATAATCGCTGTTCGCGCCAAACGCTGTTGTCGGAATCGACGTCTAGGGGGCGTGACGCTCGGTGCCATACCGGTTTTGACGTCGCTCGAGCGGTGGGGTTGAGAACGAAAAGAGGTGCAGTGGAGTCGTCTGTCAGCGGTGCTAACGTTAGCACGCTGTCATTTTTGTCGGGAACTCGGAATAATTAGGCGCGGACAGTAAATATACGGTCTAGGATTTGTGGCGCGCATTCCTACTGGAGAGTTTCCCAGGGACTCATTGTGTCTGACTCAGAATCTGCATAAGTGCATTCGGCAATATTAGCTAGTGCGGCCTTTGATATTCTAGAAATAACTCCGTGTGCGTTTTGTGCGTTAACCTTATACCCAACGAGAGTTAGTGGCTTCTGTAAGTTAGTTAATCGTACGATAGAGTTAATGGACTGTCATCGTGACGAACGAGGAAAGTGACTTGTGGACAACGCCGCGGAAGGTTCCCTCAATTTGGAGCGGTGTCGACGCCCGGGCTGCTGCCGACGACCAAGGTCTAGGGTCAATCACCATCAGTCACACCCAGATACACATCACATCACCTTATTTCCCTTGCACTACACAACCACATGCGACCTGACCGACTCCGGAGGGACCAGTCGCCTTGGATATAGGTAAGTAAGCTCCGTCTAACATTCTCCCGGTCAAATGGCCGTAGTATAGAACGCTCCCCCATATAGTCTAGTGTAATTAGAGATTTTCCACTTTGCCCTGGAGGAGGCCCAACCTACGTCTGCTCGTCGAAACTCAGCTGAATGGGCCCCTGAGGATTTGACCTTTAAGGGAGCAGCCGTAGGCCGTAACAATCGCTCTTAAATATATAGAAGAACACCCACATGTATCTAATAAATGGTTACTGATCTCTGATAGCATGAGTGTCTTGAAGGCACTGAAGTCACTGAAGGCAAGAACTTTAGATGCTAAAACGTCTTTCATCATATATGAAATCAAAAGTTTGTGGTGGAAATTGAAAGAAAATAATTTGGAAGTAAAATTTTTATGGAAATGAAAGCGCAGACCATTTGGTAGATAAAAGTATAGTTACAGCTGATATTGACAGGATAACCGGTGTTGCAATACCACATACAGATTTATATTCAATTTTAAAGCAACAGTTAAAAGAAGAATGGAAAATGCAATGGAATGCTGTTTTAGAGACAGGAAAAGGTCGTTGATATGCATCAATTAATTCAGAATTAAGTATTCCTTGGTTTTCTCGCAACGAGAGATACCATATCAGAAAATTTTATACAATAATGTGCAGACTTAGATTTGGCCACTATCGACTGAACGCCCATCTTTCCAGGATGAGAATAGTAGCATCTGCAACATGCAACTTCTGCGATACAGAAGCAGATCAGACTGCAGAACATATAATATTTAACTGCCCAGCGTACGCCATAGAAAGATTGCTACTCATTGAAAAACTTATACAAGTTAATGAAAACTCAGAAAGCGTCTCGCGTGCCCTGCAAGATGTTTTTAGGAATACTAAGACATATTTAGCACTTTGCAATTTTATTCATAATACTGTAAAAGAAATATGAAATATGGTATCCCTGTTTTTGAAAATATTGGATTGACAAATCTACATGGATTGAAATTTACAAAGATTATAATATAAAGAAGACTTGGCTTTAGCCTTTACGGTTTTTGAAAATATGAAGAATTAAAGAAAATAAGACTTGGCTTCGGCCTTTATGGATTTTGAAGAGATGCAAAGAAGAAAGATAAGAGTTGGTTCCGGCCTTTACACTTTAAAATTCTATATATTCAAAATAAAAAAGACAAGGCTGTATGGCTTAGTTCCTATGTCTGCTCTCTCGAGCGAATAATAAAAACAACAACAACAATCAAATTTTACAATTTCTGAAAAAATAATTTAGTAGGTAATTTTTGAACTGCGGAAAATGTGTTATTGTCAAATGTCAACAGTAGTTTATCTATTTTATTTCTTGAAGGAGTCTTTGAAAGATTTTTAAATACTCTAATAAAAGTCTCTAGTGATATAAATATATAGGTACAATTGTAATACGTTGATACAAATGTGTGAATAGTGATAGAAAACATGGTGTCCAGATTTCATCATTATCATGGGTCGAATATTATATTATTTGAAGACAACACCGTCGCATATAGGAAGGCGAGTTTTGCGCATGGATTGACTTTTAGTGAGAAACCTCTGTTACCGGGTGAAATATTTTTAGTGGAGATAGAGAAAACTGAACGTGGTTGGAGTGGTCATATGCGATTAGGACTTACATTACTTGATCCACAGACAGCTGCTCTTGGTGATAAAGGACTTCCCCAGTATGCATTACCTGATTTGGCGAACACTGGAATGTCATGGATATTTCCAATTTCAAAGTCTCAAAATAATGTATTGATAGAACTTGTAAATCAAGGTACCAGTGGTCGACGTGAAAATGAGCACAGGGTTTCAGTTTTAGGAGATGGGCATAGTGTGCGAACACCTCGTGGAAATATTTCGAAAATGCTTTTGAGGCCACAAATATTATCACTAAATGGGACACCTCAAGGTATTTTGCCTATGGATGCTGGAAGTCGCATTGGAGTTATGTTTGTTCCTTGTCCAAAAATCAAAAAAGATGAACCAGATTTAGCTGAAATGCATTTTATTATCAATGGAGAAGATCAAGGCCCGTGTACTAAGGCCATTCCTTACAAAAGTGGACCATTACATGCTGTTGTTGATGTATATGGTACAACAAAACAAGTAAAAATTGTACAGTTGTATGGTGGTAAGTTTTTTTTTATTTTAGTCTTTACTTAAAATATTAGTGTTGAATAATTAAAAAATATGAGTAAAACAATATCTAATAAAAACCAGGCCACATGTAATGAGGATTATGGTATTTATTTACCTTGTAATTTTCTTTCAGTGAAAACACTTCAACATGTGTGCCGTGATGCAATACTCCAGTATGTAAATAATGGATCAGTGAAGTCATTGCCATTGCCAAAGTGTTTAAAAGACTTTCTACTCTCATAGACTTTATAAAAAAGGAATGGTAATTTTGTGATGACAATAAGACTGTCAGTGTATAATTAAAATCCTTTTCAGTTTGACTTTATATATCCTAAAGTATATAATACATTAGAACTGTATAACTGCAGATATTGTAATGGCCAATATTAATGCAATTAAATTCAGCACATAATTATTAATTCAGAGATGTTAAGGTTAAGGTACTAATACTCGACACTTTGAGTACACAAACTTATGCTTTATAAACAAATATATTTAAAAAAGGTAAGAACAGTTACAATTTTTTATCTGAGCACAGTAACATTAAAAAACAATTTTTAAAACAATAAAAAACTTAAATAATCAACATTCTTTACATTACTATTTGTATTTATTTAAACTTTGGCTTAAAAACTAAAAGATGTATATTTTACCATATTTGTACCACTACTATTAGACATCAATTAGTACTAATAGTAGACATACTAGATATGCACATTCTTATATTAAAGTATGTGTTAAATCAAATCAAACACCAAATCATCATAAAATATTTAAGCTTTCATATAGTGAGATACCTGTAAAATATTTTCATATCAAGTGTTATGCCTCCTCTACACTACTTGCGAAGTAGATCAAAGTTGGACAAGGCGAATAGTGTAGAGAGGTACTTTTATTCGCTTCGTGCAACCCTTCGCCTCGGGTGACTTCCGATCGCTGTCAGTTTTTTGCGCCAGAGTCAAAGGACTTCGCGAAGTACCCCGAAGTTACACAAAGCGTCTCACTACACTACTCAGCTTACACCAGTTATGAGTATTTTTCTGCCGACTTCCAAAAAGGAGCCGGTACTCAATTCGACTGTATGTTTTTTTTTTTTTTCGTTTTTTTTTATGTGTGTTACCTCAGAACTTTTTTCTGGGTGAACCGATTTCGATGATTCTTTTTTTATTTGAAAGCTGGTACTTCTCGTGTGGTCCCATATGAATTTGATCAAGGTCGGACCAATAGTTTTTAAGTTATTCTTAAATAACTTATATTGAAGTCGGCTGTACAAAATTTTTAATTTTAAATTATTTTTATATATATAAATATTAAATATGTAGCTTTCTACATAATTATTTGTTTAGTTAACGCATTGATATCGTACTGTTCACACAATTAGGTACCTATAGCAGCTGCCTCTTGAACATCATTCATGTTAAGGGTGCAGGAGTCTCAAGACAACTGAGTTTTTCACGAAGCAGCACGAGTTTCCCTTCGGACTGCAATCAACTTTGATGAGCACTTTGTCAAATTTACTTCGTGAGTAGTGTAGAGCAGGCATTATCTGTCAACTTGTAAGACATGTCAAATATATACTTAATTCTATCACATATTATAATCATTTTAGGGAGATTGAAGACTTCAACTATTTGAGATTTACTGATGGTGCTGATATCTTTATCATTTTCTTTAAATACCGTTTAGATTGGTCACAACACACAATGGCCATAACTTCAATATCTGTCCGTGTGACTTTGGATAATGCATTTCTTTTTCCTGGGAAAATGAACAATTATGTAATCAATCTGCTTAGTATCTTTTTCTTGTTCTAAACATAAGTTTTCCTCATTATAATTCTCACGCTCGTCAGATAAGTCATCCATACTGCCTCCAGATTCTAGCCATTCAGTGTCAGTACTCTTGTCACTACTATATTCAGTCTTATCAATTTTCTTCTTCAGAGTCTTTAGGTTTTTCTTAGCTAATTTGTGAGTAGTCTTAACTTTCCGTGTCTCCTTTTTCTTTTTTTCTTCATTTTCCTCTCTTCAGCTCCTCTTTTTTTCTCCTTTTTGCCTTCGTGATATTTTTTCCATTGAAGGGAAGATACGACAGATGGTATTTTTTTCTTTCTTCCTTTTTTACAGTTTTCTTTAGATATTGGCCAAAATAATTCCTTTTTGAATGGACTAGGTATTATCATATTTAGTTTATGTTCATGTTGTTCTGAGGATTTTAGGAAATGTAGACTTTGCTGGGCGTTTTAGGGTCTTCAGTTATAATATCTAATGTTACATTAGGATGGTTATCATTCATAAGTGGAGTTATAATTTCAGTTGTGCTGCTTTGTTCCGATATGAGATTTTGACTGGTTAATGTGTCAGTTTCCTTTTGCTCTCATTTAACAATTATTCTACCTTTTTGTACGATTCAAAATAATGTGATGTCTTCTTTGACGCCTAACTATTCATTGCAACTTTTTAAACTGATCAAGTTTTTCAGCATCTATATATTTATCCAAAAATTTTATTCCAATTTCAAGTTCCTTAATTTTTGCCATTGCTTGTTACTCTGCAAAATTGTTAGTTCATGGTTCTGTGATACAGCATACTTTGTCAGGATTCCAAGGTGTAAGTCCACACTTATGAAAACCATTCTGAAATATTACAGATGTCAGAGTATCCTTTAGTACCTTGTTTAACAAAGGACAAAAATGTATTTTTCGTATAACAGGAGAATCAATATTTTCTAACTGCCAAGAATGCACTGCAGCCTTAAACACTCCTTTAATACTTCTGAAAACTGACATCCAATGGTTGCAGTAAATGTGTTGCATTTGGAAAGAGAGCAATCAATATAATGCCATTTTCTGAACAAAATTTACTTACTTGAAGAGAAAGATGGGAAATGTGACCATTTATAAAAAGCGGCACTGGTCTTGGAATTTTATTATCATCCAACTATTTGTTAAAAATATTGCAAATGTATTCATAAAATGTTTCTTTGGACATTCAGCCATTATCGGAATGTCCCACACCATAAGTTTCAGGAACAGACAAACTTAACTCTCTTGGTAACCTCTCATATTTAAAAATGACCATAGGAGGTAGAACATCGCCGGTAGCATTGCCACCTTAATAGCCACATTAATTTGCTGGTAAACTAATTTTTCTCCTTTAGGCGCTTACAATTTATTACCTTAAGGATTAAAAAAAAAAACTGTCTCATCCATATTAAAAAGGTTCAGTTCAGTTTCCTCTTTGAGGTTCATTCAAAATATCCCTCTGATTATTATCATTTAAGTAGCTGCTGACCTCTTTGAATCAGTTCTTCAATTGAAATGTTGTCGGATTAGATCTGGAAGTAGTCAAATTTTGGGGCTGTCTTGGAATAAGATTAGGGTGACATTTTAAAAAGCTACTGTACCACCTTTTTCAAGGCCTAGCATTCTTAAAAGGGTTTCTAATTAAATCATCCAGAGCATGCGTTCATTTGCTACATAGTTTTCCGCAACTGACACCATTTTGAATTCAACTTAAATAGGGAATGAAAAGTTTTGTCTAAGCGTCATAGATGGCAATAGGTGTCTTTTAAGCTTTTAACAATAGTACATAGTAAAGTTATATCAAGAATAATATTCTTATTAAAAGTGATTTTTTTTAAATGTAACCTTTAGTTCATCGTCGAGCATTAGTGCCTTTACCTTAACTTCCTTATATTTTATTATAATTATTTATATGTATTCTTATCACTTGGGTATGTAATCCTACAAGATAATTTTATTACCGGTATTTGTGGGACTGAACATTTTCATGGGATGCAGATATTTGAAGAACCCCGCAGAATACTGTTATAGTTGTACTGCCTAAACAGTGCCTGACCTTACAAACTAGGTAGCCAGCAGTGGGAAATGATCATTCTAAATATATGCTAGTAAAAACAACTGCCAATAATAAGTTAAAGGTGAATTAGAGGTATGTGCCTTTTAATCTACCCCATTTAAAATGTTACATCTCCATCCTTAAAAAAAACCTTAAGTTTCTATTACCAGATCAAGGTTGGGGTGTTCCAGAAAATTTTAAACTAGTCAAGGTCAGTTCGATTTCATTCCAAAGTGTTACATGTTGTTGAATGTGTGTGAAAAGTATGTTGTCTCCAGACCCATCAACAGCAGCAGTGGTTTCTCTGAACTCTAAACTTTCTATTACATGTATCCTACTTATAGGCTCAGAGTAGAAAACCTTACCTTCTGATTGTAGCCCAAGGTCCCTTTAATGTTACTTATTTTTCAAGTGATTCATGCCCAGCAAAATATGTTGACTACATTTACAATACTAGTTTTGGGGTATCTTAATTAAGATGTTTAAAAATGTGCCACATGTTTTTTTTCTTGTTATATAAGTCCCATGTATGGCATCTTGGGTTGTTCTGTTGTGCACTCATTTTAATTATTTTACATGATCCTTTAAATGAAATAAACAAATATTTGCACAACTTGTATTTTATTATTCTTAGTTGAATTAACCATTTATGGCTAGTTCAACTTTCCACCATGCTCCTTTGATTTCTTTTTGGTGCAGGGAGGTCTACGGTTTTGGGTCTTCTTTTTGTTTCCTTTCTTTTGGTATTATATTCTTATCTTCAAATGTTTCTTTTTAGAATCTGATATCGCATTGTGATTTTGATTCATTTTTTGCTCAATTCCAGCTTAATATTGCTGAATTTTCTTGTGACGAATTCGATCTGGTAGTCTGTCTTTTTGTACAACCAAGTATTTAAAGCATCTAAGTCAAGTATATGCGCAAACTTCTGTTGAGTCCACTTTTACGGTACGGTATCATATTATATACTGCCAGCATTCTGTCTAATGTGGTGTAGATCTTGTTGTACATATTTGTCCATGTTGTAGGCTTGGACAACCTTGGGTCTTTCCATCTGTATGTAATCTCGGTTGGATTTGCGCCATCTTCTGCACATGTCCGTTGGCTTCTAGGCACACTGTTCATAACTGTTAATAATTTTGTGACGCCTTTGTTATGAAATCACTTTGTTACGGCCATTTTTTTTCTTATTATAAGTTAGTGCATTTCCGCAATTCCACCTGGTGGTAAGTGGTGATGAAGCCCTAGATGGTAAATCGCACTACACTTGTCTCTGTAGTGTTTACTAATACCTGACATGAGCAGCGTATCTACTTCTCTTTTCATTCCATGATTGACTTTAATTATCTCTCTAGCTGCAGGAGGAACCCCTAATATGAAAAA